TGATGCCACCTATGAGCCAGCCTCAGATGCCGCCTATGATGCCACCTGTTATTCCGCCTATGCCCCAATCTGTGATGACGCCTATTGTCCAGCAGTCTTTGACCCAGCCACCTATGGCCCAACCTGTGATGCCACCTATCAGCCATCCACCCTTTTCAGCTGAACTTCTTGCAGCTGTAAGACATCATGAAAGGATTCAGCATGAATCTGGGACTAATCAATCTAATGCACAGATTGGCTCAGGTCAGAAGAACTTCCAGACACAAGTTGAAGCTCCTATTAAGTCTCCTTTTGGAATTGTGAAAGCCTCTTGGCTTCCAGTGTTTTCACAGGCTGCTGCCCAGAAGGTAAAGAGACTTCCTACTCCATCTATGATGAATGACTACTATGCTACATCTCCAAGGATATTTCCACATATGTGTTCTCTGTGTAACATGGAATGCACTCATATGAAGGTGAGTGTTTTTCAAAGATTACTGTATAAACTTGTTGTATCTAACATATGGTTACATGTTATCTTATTCATTAGTTTTTACTATGCATTAGATAACTTGTGGAAGCTTGTGCATATTGTGCTCCAGTATGATTCCTGATCTGTGGGTTTTAAAAGATTAGAAATATTAATACTGGCAGACACCTCTATAACTTCACTGGCTAGCCTGTTGCTCTTATGACTGTATAGGCACACAAATGTTCTTTACATCAATATTAAGGCTCTTAGGTCTTTTTGCACTGTTTTTTTAAATATTATATTTGGCAGAGAAATAACAATTCTTTTCATTAACACCTCATAACTAGGCCACTAGAAACACACACAGCAATTTCTATACAATAGCACAGTTTTAGGATAGATTTCCATGTTGTCTCTCCCCCCCCCCCAACAATTAAAAAAAAAAAAAGCAGTGTGAGTGTTTGCAAAGATATCACTCTGAATGTGAATTGGTGCAACATGGTCTTACCTGAGACTGAAGAATAGCTCTGAGAGGTGTTAACTGCTTTCATTTATCTAACTGGGGTCTCAATTCTGAAACCGAAAGACCATTTCAGTGTTTAAAATAATCTTCAAAGAGTTTGGGAGTATGGGGAAAGGAGAAGATCATTCTAGGAGGAGAAGACCTTGGGGAGTAAATGAAAGGATGTTGGAAATAATTTAAAAAAAAAAAAGGGTGATTTTTTTTATTTAAAACTATTTGCAAAAGAATTCAGCATGGTTTTCATATATTTAAATATGCCTCTACTGTGTTACCAAAAGTTTGCAAAACCTGGGAAAAGCTTCCACAGAATTTCCGGGTGCACTACTACTGCCTTGTTTTAAAGAGGAGTAAATGGGGTTGAGGACAATCAAGAGAAGCTTCTGTACTTGTGGGAGTACAACTGTATTTTAAATACCCTTTTATTAATGGGCTTCAGTGCTTCTAGTTTTAGTATGTATAGGTTTTTATTCTGTTAAATTGTTAAAACTTAAAAAAAAAAAAGAAATTGGGGTTCTGATTAAAATAGAATGTTACTTAATGCTGAATGTAGTAACAAATTTGGGTTCGTAATTAGTGATTTTCTTTTCTAAAGTAACTTATGTAGCTGATTCTCTTGGATGTGAACTACTCAGTAGCTAGCTCACTTATAGACTCATAGACTTTAAGGTCAGAAGGGACCATTATGATCATCTAGTCTGACCTCCCGCATGATGCAGGCCACAAAAGCTGACTTGTCCCTTTTAAATTCAAGTAAATATTTATACTGCAAGTATTGACTGGAGATGCAGTTCTTTTAACCTGAATATTCTGCAACCTTATTTAATGTACGTGTGTTGCTGCTGTGTGGACAGTTCAGAATTTCTCACAAGAATTCATTAATGTGGCTTAGAAGAAAATGTTGCAAAACAACCAGGATATTCTTGAATAGCCTTTTTTGGAAAAACAAAGGTACAAAGGGTGGGGAGGAATCAGATTTTAAAAGCAAAGAACGAAGATCTTTCTTTCAACAAAAGTTCGTTAACACTCTATACATATGTATTCCAAAAAGTTCATGAATCCAAACATTACTTTTGCTTTCAGCTTTCTAGTTGGTTTTTTCAAGTAAAACATCTGTTTTTTTGTATTTCAGTTACAATTGAAAGATTTCAAGGTAAAGATTTCTATGCATCCATCTTATTGTCCTCTTTGAACTCATGATAAATGTTATGCTGAAAAGACAAGTATATGATTGAAAGTTTTTTTTGTACCTGAAGGTAGAACTGGATCTTCAGATGTTTTGCTTTTAGGTTAAATTTTTTTAATCTTTTTGTTAGCTTGGGTATGCCACAACTTTGCAGAGCAATTGATTCAGACTCTCCAAGGTGCAAAATGTGACTTTATAAAATAGCAAATAGGAAAAGCTTGAGACAGTCTAAAAGAAGAAAGGCAAGCATGCAGTGATAACAAATAAAGATATATAATGAACTATGAACAGGATGAGAGAAATGGCAAAGTGGGGAAAATCCCCATCACCTCAGCTTCTTCTGAAGTTGGGAAATATATGTCAAAGAGGATGCAGACTAGTTTCATTATTGCTAGGAAGACAGCTGACTCTCAAGTTCAAATTATTAGTGGTGATTGTTTGCAAAGGATGCTACGTAAAGCAGCTGCCAGTATTATACAGAATTATAAACTTAAACGTACATAGGAGTCTGTTTTTTCTCCGCACTGAAACTTAGTTACCTTTTGGAGTTTGGTGCAGCAACCACTATATCACCAGCAGTAGTAACCTTACACATGATCTTGGACAGGAACTGAAGAATAACTTATGTAGCTGAGGTAACAGATTATGTTGAGGAAGCACAATTTGGCCAGGATCTAAGAATGTAGGAACGGCCATATTGGGTCAGACCAAAGGTCTGTCTAGCCCAGTATCCTGTCTTCTGACAGTGGCCAATGCCAGGTGCCCCAGAGGGAATGAACAGAACAGGTAATCATCAAGTGATCCATCCCCCGTTGCCCATTCCCAGCTTCTGGCAAACAGAGGTTAGGGACACCATCCCTGCCCATCCTAGCTAATAGCCATTGATGGACCTGTCCTCCATGAATTTATCTAGTTCTTTTTTGAACCCTGTTATAGTCTTGGCCTTCACAACATCCTCTGGAAAAGAGTTCCACAGGTTGACTGTGCATTGTGTGAAGAAATACTTCCTTTTGTTTGTTTTAAACCTGCTGCCTATTAATTTCACTTGGTGACCCCTAGTTCTTGTGTTATGAGGAGTAAATAACACTTCCTTATTTACTTTCTTCACACCAGTCATGATTTTATAGACTTCAGTCATATTTCCCCCCCTTAGTCCTCTCTTTTCCAAGCTGAAAAGTCCCAGTCTTATTAATCTCTCCTCATATGGCAGCCGTTCCATACCCCAATCATTTTTGTTTCCCTTTTCTGAACCTTTCCCAATTCCAATATATTTTTTTTGAGATGGGGTAACCACATTTGCACGCAGTATTCAAGATGTGGGTGTACCATGGATTTCTATAGAGGCAGTATGATATTTTCTGACTTATTATCTATCCCTTTCTTGATGATGCCCAACATTCTGTTTGCTTTTTTGACTGCTGCTGCACAGTGAGTGTATGTTTTCAGAGAGCGATCCACAATGACTCCAAGATCTCTTTCTTGAGTGGTAACAGCTAATTTAGATCCCATCATTTTAGATGTAGAGTTGGGATTATGTTTTCCAATGTGCATTACTTTGCATTGACCAACATTGAATTTCATCTGCCATTTTGTTGCCCAGTCACCCAGTTTTGTGAGATCCTTTTGTAGCTCTTTGCAGTCTGCCTGGGACTTAACTATCTTGAGTTGTTTTGTATCATCTGCAAGTTTTGCCACCTCACTGTTTATCGCTTTCTCCAGATCATTTATGAATATGTTGAATAGGACCGGTCCCAGGACAGACCCCTGGGGGACACCACAATTTACCTCTCTCCATTCTGAAAACTGACCATTTATTCCTACCCTTTGTTTCCTATCTTTTAACCAGTTACCAATCCATGAGAGGACCTTCCCTCTTATCCCATGACAGCTTACTTTGCTTAAGAGCCTTTGGTGAGGGACCTTGTCAAAGGCTTTCTGAAAATCTAAGTACACGACATCTACTGGATCCCCCTTGTTCACGTGCTTGTTGACCCCCTCAAAGAATTCTAGTAGATTGGTGAGGCATGATTTCACTTTACAAAAACAATGTTGACTCTTCCCCAACAAATTATGTTCATCTAGGTGTCTGACAATTTTGGTCTTTACTATAGTTTCAACTAGTTTGTCTGGTACTGAAGTCAGGCTTACCGGCCTGTAATTGCCGGTGTAGTAAGATGAGGCCCTGAAACATAAACTCTTTTGTCAGAGACCCAGTCTGAGGCCTGAAGCCTGAACCAAAGTACTTCCAGGCATTGCTAAGCAAAAGCTGGGCTGTGAGCCAGAGGCAGGCCCCACTCACAGAAGTTGGCGAGAAGAGGGTTGCTAGAAGCAGGTGCATCCACACATAAGTGCTAATAAGAGGAACTTGTGCCAAGATGGCATCAGAACACTCTACAGAGATAACAAGGAACAGGCAGGTGCATCTTAAAGACAGGGTCAAAAGGACAACATGATGGATAGATCTGTTTGAAACAACATGATCAAAGGAGGAGACAGCACCCTAATGAGCCAAGGGTCAGTAGGGATGAGTAATCTGTCCTGTAACTGTATAAAAGTTGGCCTCGGAGTGCACATCTTTGTCTGGGCTAGGGGGCAGTGGAAAGTCCTGCCACTGACTGAGCCAGTCCATTGCCGGGGGCACAAATTCGTAGCATGTCTTGTAGAGTCTACGGGAAACTATTACTGTGCTTCATTTGACAATAAACCTGGCTCGGGTTCCTTCGTACCTTACTAGAGTCTGTGGTCTTTGGGGGTTCTCTCGGGGTTTGCTGTGTCACCTATCTGCGCAGAGCTGGTGCAGCACACAGAGGGAACACGCACGCAGCGGACTGTTATCATCGAACAAGAGCAGAGCACCACACCGGTAGCTACTGACAACAGCCGGGATAACCTCTGGAGCCCTTTTTAAAAATTGGCATCACATGAGCTATCTTCCAGTCATTTGGTACAGAAGCTGATTTAAATGATAGGTTACAGGCTACATTTAGTAGTTCTGCAATTTCACATTTGAGTTCCTTCAGAACTGTTGGGTGAATATCACCTGGTTACTTATTACTGTTTATCAGTTTGTTCCCAAACCTCCTCTAATAACACCTCAATCTGGGACAGTTCCTCAGATTTGTCACCTAAAAAGAATGGCTCAGGTTTGGGAATCTCCCTCACATCCGGAGCCATGAAGACAGATGCAAAGAATTTTTGTTTCTCTGCAATGGCTTTAGGGTTAACTATTGCTATTGGGGAAAGTGCCATTGGATTTCCAAAGAGCAACACCTTCTGTTTGTCTCATCTGAAAGAAGCCATCTCTGAGCCTGGCTCTTCCACCACTACCTGGAGCACTGGTTCAATTATGAGTGAGGGAAAAGTGCTAATGCTATTACCTGAACCATCCTAGGCTTTTCCCTGTGGGTGTCCCTGCAGTTACATACCCCTGCTTAACTTGTGAGGTCTGATCACAGCTGAAGGTGGTCCTGATGTTCACAGTATTCTGAAGTTTAGCATTCTGTCTCTTTGATACAATACAACATTTTAATCTGAAATTAGTTTTTTAATGCCTCTCTATTGCAATAGCTGTACAAAACCGAAAGATTATAGTATTTTGCATCTGTCTGGCACAGTTATTTAAGACCTCATAACATTTACCAACATTAAACCTCACAACTTCCTTGTAAGGGATATGTATTATCATTCCTGCCACCATTGAAATGCAGCCATTTCTGGAGTGGAATGCAGCAGTTTAATAGTGCAGAACAACCTTACCACAGTTTAGAACAGAAAGTGAAGAATAGCATAGCCATTTCAAATTGTAGAAGGAATTTGAGGAATAATGTAATTACACATAGTGGAGTTTGGCAAGGACCACTGGGGTTAAAATTACTGTTGCTACAAAAACTGGCCATCGGTTCTCTAATAATTACAAGTGATCAATGCCTTGGTTCTATGAAGATGTCACCAGCAGCATCACAAAGTCCTGTTACCATGCTGGGGTATTGGTTGTTTTCTGACATCCGAGAAGAGTGCCACCAGCACAACTTGAGGTGGTATCTTTCTGTCCATGTGTGGTCTAAGTATTGACTCGGCCAAACCCTGCTTTATCTTATGGGACTGGTCAGTTTCACAGCACATGATGAACCTGATAGGCTCCTTGAGGTTAGAGAAGCAATAAAGATTTGAACTTCTGAGTGGCCCAAATAAGTTGATTGCATGCATATTGTTTTTCACCTCCAAGCCTTTGTTCCTTTTTGTGGTTCTGACCGGGGTTGCTGTGCTGAACGCTGTTTGGTGTAAAAGTCTTGCAGTCAAGTTGGAGTTCTGAATTCTTTTTTTGCCAGCAAAAAATTAAAGCCAGAAAATTTGAGTTTCATCATCGATGACTTGTTTTATTGCGAATCCCGTCTGTCCACTCAATACTTCCATTTTTTTTTGTTTTACAGCCTTTTGTTTCAGGTGGAAACTATTTTTCTGTTAGAGAAAAAAATGGATGGCAATTCTTCAGATTATCTGTCAGTGTGTTTTTTTTTTTTTTTTTGGGGTGTTATTTTTTTCTTTCAAAATAAGCAAGCTTTTTTAAGAAAGGGAAAAGCCTCCTCTTGTGCAACAAATAAAATAACCAGGATTGTTCTAACTCATTTAGTGAATATATCCAGGAAATGTAACTTCATGACTTAACATCACAGTTCTAGGTAAATTGTACAGTAGAAATACATTATAGCTTTAAAAATGTCAGTATCCTCACTATTTTTAGAATGAGATTGGTTTGTAATTTCAGTGTTGAATGAATTTGTTACATGTTCATTGGATATTATAATAGGGCAACAATGTTCTAGTTATTTTATTTTAGGTGTTTTAACCTTTGTTTTAAATCTATTTGGGTTGAAACTTCTTGGATTTTAAATTCAATATGAAATCATGTGAAAATTCTTTTTCTTCCTGCAAGAGAACTATGTGTATGCTTCTGCATACATTACTTAGTTCACAGGACAAAATATGATTCTATTCATCTTTATTCCTAGCTCTTCTACATAACATTCTGCAGCAGAATGGCATGCACAAGAGCACAGGTGTGATGCTAATGTAGATGAGGCTTGACTGACTGAAAGAGGAACACTTACCATGCTATAGAGGGATCTTGGGCCATACCTTTTTCAGAAAGAAAATCCTTGTATAGCAGGGTGGGAGAGGGATAGTCTTGGGGATTAGGGAATCAGATTGGAAATTGGAAGGAATACACTGGAAATGATGATATGAAATACAAGAGGGAATTGGGGAAGTTAAGATTCAGAGCAAATGATTAGCGTATTTGTAAGGGAGGAGAATGTATCACTTTGTCTGCCATTCTGGTTAATGCTAGTTGGATTGCTAGCTAAAAAGAGACTTGGAAACAAAATGGCCTCTTTACACCCCTCCCTAAAAATGAGTGGTGATTTTTCTCATTTGGGGCCAGAAAGAAGATGGGTGGATTAATTGTTTTCCCTTTCTTTCCACAGATTAATCAATTTAATCTCCAGTTTTTTTAGCTACAAATGTTAAGCCTAGGTACATTTTATTCTAAGAATAGGAAAAATGATGCTGATATTTGGGAGAAATAGTTTTTCTGAAAATTGATTTGTATTTTATTGCAAGTTGCAATCTTTAAGTGTTCTTTGCTATGCATACAGTTCTGCAGTCAGCTATGGCAGTGGTAGTGTCTCAGAGTCTGAAATATTTTTGTTCCTGAAGCAAAACAATCTCAAGAGGAGTCCTCTTTAAAAAAAAAAGTTCTTAATATATTTTGTCAAAACAAGTGTTAATATTAATTAAGGACATTTTAATAGTAAAGTATGAGTAATACTGTGCACTTTGAATCTTCAGAATGTTTTACAAACACTAGTAATGAATCCTCACAACCCCTCTGAGACTGGTTTAAAAAAAACGTATAAGAAGTTTTATTTGGTTAACTTTGTTTTACAGACTTAAATAAAAATAAACTTTCAACACCTGAATTTTCTGGTTTTTTTTAGTTTGTAACTCATGCTTTTGTTTTGATATGTGGGTAGTGCCGAGCAGTGAGGTGCTGTTTTGTACCAAACTTGCTGTGTTACTTAAGTGGAGAGATCTAGTTGAGGACAGGGTTAGTTGAATTTCCCTTTTTGTGGCTTTAAAAGAAAAAAGCCATTACAAATATTTCTCTGCACTATCATGATAACTTCTGTTGGTATGTGGAGGGAGACAGGACAGTATTCTAAAATTTCACACGTGATTTTTTTTTTAAATATACTGTATAAACTCTGAAATGTGTTTGGAAAAATAATATACTTTTACCAGTAACTGTGTTCTTGCAACAAGGAACACTAGTGGCTTTGGTAGCATGGGACTTCAATTTAATTTATTTTAAAACTGGTTTTCATCCTGTTTCAAAACTGGTTTTATGTTAGAATTTTGCTATTTTGTAAAAGTTTACATATTTAGTTGCAATATATAATATCTGTTTTTAAACCATTATTAAAATGGAATGGAAATTGGCTTTAGGGAAACTTTCATTGGGATTTGAGAACACTCAGTACTTTTACAAGTTTGGGCCCGTATTAGCTGTCTGTACTGGCAAACTGACCATTGGTACCAATAATTTTCAACAAAAGGTAGGTCAGTTTGCTAGTGTAGATTAGGCAATAATGTCTTTTGCCCCAGTCTTGCAAAGCTTAATTAGTCTCATTTGGCCTACTCATGTATGGTCTTAACTTTAAGCACATGCAGGTGTGAGGCCTTACATTGGTCCTTTAGGCTATAGTGTCACAGCTATTAATTTCCAGCCAAATGTTCCCAAATATAAATAAAAAATATTTCAGTGTTTATACATGGTAAAAAATGCTTCATCTCCACGTGAATTAACTGACATAAAATAGAAGTTTAAAATAAACTTTTTGTTTACCATATATTTTAATGCATAAGTAAGGATGAACATTTTAAAATTCTGTTCTTGAGTTTTTGAGGCATTAATATAATGGCATAAGTCTTAATGACTTAGCTTTTGATATCTAACATCTTAAAATTGCACATCTGTGTTTGCTGAAATTATACAGTTTCTCGGTTTGTCAGATTTTCTCAATGTAAGTAACAACATTTTTTTAGATGATAGCTAATAGTCTTATACATAACTGGCTGTTAAAGGTTTTTTTTTGAGTTATCATAGAAGATTAGGGTTGGAAGAGACCTTAGGAGGTCATCTAGTCCAACCCCCTGCTCAAAGCAGGACCAACCCCAACTAAATCATCCCAGCCAGGGCTTTGTCAAGCTTGACCTTAAAAACCTCTAAGGATGGAGTTGAAGTAATGATGACTGAAACAACTCACTCTTTTGAAGCAAATAAATTGCTGATTAGTTTAATGTAATGAATTGTTTCTATGTAACTCCTGCTAAAGACTTCATTTGTATGTGTGTGCGTTAACAAATTTAATGTGATATTAGTGGTTTTTTATTTAGTATAAAATGTAGCCATTTTAAGATGAGAGAGTTGAACAAAACATCAGATTGTTTGATAACTAAAATTTTGCCAGTGATGGAAGACACAATAGAAAAATTTGCTTTATATTAATTTTGTACAAATTTTGGCATTTATACATTAATCAAACTTCTGTGAATATCTTTTTCTCCAACAGGATTGGATTCAGCATCAGAATAATCCTGCTCACATTGAGAGCTGCCGTCAGTTACGTCAACAGTAAGGGATTTCTGTTTGTGTGTACGTTTATACAGTAGTCATATGTATCAGAGGGGTAGCCGTGTTAGTCTGGATCTGTTGCTTTTTACAGTAGTCATATGGTATAGCATATCACTGTCATATTTCTTTAACTAGCCTTGTATGTATCGATCATCCTTATTTGTTTTGGGTAATTATGATAGAGTTTAAGTTAACATTATATACTTACAGTTGTTGCTGCCCCAGGACTTGAGCTGCATAACCTATTGCAGTGTAAATAAGTTAGGAACATAGCTGGAAATCTCATATTAGAGTAGTTCAGGTTGCAAGTTCAACTTGTTGCATTGACTATTTTATTTTAAAAACAGGTATCCTGATTGGAATCCTGAGGTCCATTCTTCGAAGAGGTAACTGCCTTTGAGAAATAAGGCAATTTTCAATTACTCCAACAATAAGAAATGAATACAATAATGATTTACTTTTCCCTAACCTAGTTTGCTGCTTGTAAGTAATAGCTATGGTGCCCGTATGTTTTTATTGTACAGTTATGTTAAATGAGGGTTTCTTATACTTGATCATAGATTCTCTACGCAACAGCAGTACTAAACTGTTGGGGCTCCTCTTTCAGAGAAAAGTACAAGGCTGAGAGAACAGTCTCTGGAAAAGCATGGAGAGCTGTACTGTCTTGCTCAAGATTAGATGCCTTTCTGGCAGATATCCTTTAGTCAAGCACAAATTATTGGGCTCAGTAGATAGTATGTCACCATTACCTATGACCTGTGTTATATGGAAAGTCAGACTTCATGATCTAATGGTCTCTTCTGACCTTAAGATCTATGCATACATGAATTTTGAAACAACTTTATTTGAAAACAGACTGCAATCTCTACTTTTCTTGGTCGCTTAATTCTATTTATATTTCAGCACAATCAGAATATTCTGTTATTCAGAATTGTGTGTGTATTTTTAGCTTGTCTTGTATATAAATCAGGAAAGAGATGGATGATTTTCTGTTTCCTGAAGTCGGCCTATTGCAATTTGCATGAAAGTGATCATGAAATGTTAGACTTCTGTCTTTGACAGGGTTACTGGTCTAGGGGATAGGGAAGAAACAATAGATGTGATATATGTTAATTTTAGTAAGGCTTTTGGCATAGTTCCACGTGACATTCTTATAAGCAAATTAGGGAAATGTGGTCTAGATGAAATTACTATGTGATGGGTACCCATCTGGTTGAAAGACCATAATCAAAGAGTAATTATCAATGGTTCGCTGTCAAACTAGGAGGATGTATCTAGTGGGGTACCACAGAGGTCAGTCCTGGGTCTGGTACTATTCAATATTTTCATTAATGACTTGGATAGTGGAGTGAAGAGTATGCTTATAAAATTTGTGGATAACACCAAGCTGGAAAGGTTACAAGCACTTTGGAGGACAGGATTAGAATTCAAAATGACTTTGACACATGGGAGAATTTATCTGAATTCAGCAAGGTGAAACTCAAAGACAGGTGCAAAGTACTTGACTTAAGATGGAAAAATCAAATGCACAAATACAAAATGGAAATAAGGAGCTAGGGGTTATAGTTGATCACAAATTGAATGTGAGGCAACAATGTGGTGCATTTGTGAAAAAGGTAAATATTGTTCTGGGATATATTAGCAGGAGTGTTTTGTATATAACACATGGGAGGTAATTGTCCAGCTCTGCTTGGCACTGGTGAGGCCTCAGCTGGAGCACTGTATCCAGTTCTGGGGATTACACTTTAGGAAAGATGTGGATAAATTGCAGAGAGGTTAGAGGAGAGCAACAAATGATAAAAGGTTTTAGAAAACCTCACATGTGAGGGAAGGTTAAAAAAATTGGGCATGTTTAGTCTTGAGAAAAGAAGGCTGAGGGGGAATCTGAAAACTGTCTTCAAATATGTTGAGCTGTTATAAAGAGGACTCTGATCATTTGCTCTCCATGTCCACTGAAGGTAGGACAGTGGTAATAGGCTTAATCTGTGGCAAGTGAGATTTAGGTTAGATATTAGGAAAACCTTTCTAATTGTAAGAGTAGTTAAACTCTAGATTAGGCTTCCAAAGGAGGTTGTAGAATCCCTATGATTGGAGGTTTTGAAGAACAGGTTGGATAAACCCCCTATCAGGGATGGTCTAGGTTTACTAGGTGCAGCATCAGCCCAGAGAGCTGGACTTGAGGACCTCTCGAAGTCCCTTCAAGCCCTATATTTCTATGATTCTATCTCTCTTGGGAAGCTCCTTGTTAAAAGGCTGAAAATATGAACACACAAATTACTGGGAACAGATCTAGTGCACAGGCACCTTTTTAAATGTATTAATGATTTTGTCTGAGAATACATATGACTGACTAAGTTTTGAAACATTGAGTGAAGGGAGAATTTTATGTTAAAACTTCAAGTGGATGTTTTTGTTGTTGCTAATTGTTTTGGAGTGCTGACATGCTCAGCGCAGTACAGAACGAAGCGAAAGAAAAGGTTCCTACTTCTAGAACGTGTCAAACATTAGATAGCAATCTTTGGGGTGAGGGATCTAATAGGCTTAAGGGTGTGCAAGGTTTTATTTTTGTTGAGAGGTATCAGTCAGACCCAGAGCTGCTGGCTGTTTTCCAAGGGCCTTGATGTATTACTTGTGCATTGTTCCCAGTTCAGCAGTAGTTACTGGATCTTCCATCCACAGGGCGGTGTTATGATTCTACTTAACTACTGTGATTAGTCTACGTAATATAAAAACGTTGTTTTTTAATGGAGATATCAGTAATAAGATTTTACAGGTTGCCTTTCTCTAATTTCACATTCCACTAAGATGAAATCTAGTATACAGCCTCATACTGCAGTGATAGCTCTTTTACCTTTCTCTCCCACTGCACTGTCTTCCCACTATTCCTGTCCTCACATTTTGCATTTGCTACTTCCTCATCTGTTTCTAATAGGCTTGATTAGCACTATTCAACAGATTGTTTAAATTGAATTGATCCTTTTCAAATTAGATCAGGAACGACTTTGGGTAATCTGGTCATCTACCTTTGTTTCACAGAAATGAAGGCGAGAGAAAAGAAAATCAGACCCCAAAGAGACGTTCCAACTCTGCTAGTCCTGGTCCTAGGCATTCAAGAGGATCAGGCTCTGGCCACATTCTTCGCCGGTCCCGATCCCGATCCCGATCCAGGAGCCCTGGCCGTTTCAGGTTAGCAAGACCAAGAAGTCGAAGTCCAAGGCAGATGCGTCGTCCTAGCCCTAGACACAGGTCTAGGTCACCACAACGATCTAGAAATCCTCTGAGGTGTAGTCCACGACCCCAAAGATCTTCTAGCAATGAATGGGCATCAAGGAGGACAACTAGATCTCCAGGTAAGGAGATGGATATTACAGAAATTAAAGGGCAAGCTATCAGACTGAAACTTTGGTAGTTTTCAGGAACTTTGGAGATAGGAAAGGATATCTCCTAGAACTGGAAGGGACCTTGAAAGGTCATCGAGTCCAGCCCCCTGCCTTCTCTAGCAGGACCAAGTACTGATTTTGCCCCAGATTCCTAAGTGGCCCCCTCAAGGATTGAGCTCACAACCCTGGGTTTAGCAGGCCAATGCTCAAACCACTGAGCTATCCCTCCCCCCAACTTTACCTGTCCTCGAGCCCACCTGCCAATTTGATTATATAATGGAAATAGTGAAACTCACCATTCACTAAGTGTTGTCAAGTGGAATAATGCTGGAGAAAGGTGTGGTTTTTTTTTTTCTTTCTTTCCCTTTTTCTTTATAGGTGTTAATAATAGAAGTGGTAAATTTTCAGACAGTTATGTTTTGTAAGCTGATGGTGTCTCCTGAGCCATGAGAACTGAACCATGTTTTAACAATTCCATACTTCAGCTTTCTTTTTCTCCTGCAAAAGTGTTTTTTGTTTTTTTTTTAATCTCAGCAACATCTAAAACAGTGTGTGGAATGTCATCCCTGTACCATTGTAGCTTTTGGTGACATTATCAACCATTGTAGATTCTATGAAGGTCATCAGGTTCCTCACTCCTCATTTCATCTGCAAGATCTGAGGCCTGCCTTCTTCTAGCAGTGTCAGTAATGGGGAGAA